CCCTGCACGCTCTTACCACACAGTGAGGTGACAATTTGGTAGGAAGGTGACGCCCGGGCTGTGGAATGAGTTTCAAAATGCATATGCATATTGTCAGTGCAACAAAATTCAAATTTAGTCATGTGCATTGTGATTGTGGACTGTGAGCCATGCATCCAGTGATACTAACTCCAGGCACCTCCTGTGACTAGCATCCTGCTGTGGTTGTGAGAGCATTTGCATTGGTTGACTATTTCTGCTTGAGATAAGGAATTTAGCCACCAATGTCAACTAGAGATGTCAGCAGGTACCCGGTACCCGTTTGCAGGTACCTGTTTTCCAAAGCAGGTACCCAGAAACGGGTGTGGGTGTCAACATTTGCGGTAAAAACAGGTTCGGGTGTCAACATTTGCAGTAAAAAAAGGCAGGTACCCGGGTACCCGCCTTACACCTGCCCTGGGAATGCTTCCCCTGAAGAATTTAATTTGTCATTGGTGGTCCAATACCCCCTTTTTTGGGTATGTTGGGCTGCACAAAGGTGTCAGCAACCCATTTAGGACCCCAGCTGGTGTCCTGCATGTGTTTCTGAACTAATCTGGTTGCTTTGTTGAGGCCGTAGGGCTCCCTTGGGCCTTTGAGATGGTGTACAGTCTTGATGACTGGAGGAATTCCTCCAGTCATAAAGACGGTGTACAGTGTTCATCAATGGAAATTGAATAAGGCAAATGAGGCCAAGCTAAAGGGTAAAGCTAAAGATAGATCAGAGAGAAGATAAAATTCAAATTGGTGATATAATAATTTGTTTTTCTTTATTTCTTTATTTCTATTTTATTCTTACTCATATATCTCGTACTTGAATATCAATCTTATATTTACAAAGTCATGCAGAAATTCAAGGGTGAGATTTCTGGCTATATTTGCCTGCAAAAATGTGCCAGGTATCCACAGGTACTGGGTACCCGCCCTGGCCGCCCTAACAGGTGTGGGTGCGGGTGTCAAAAATATTGGATTTTTGAGGCAGGTACCCGCACCCGCTACAGGTACCCGGGTATTGAGTGACATCTCTAATGTCAACCACACCAGGTTGAGCTAACATTGAGCTAACCTGGCTATTAGCTAAATTTTCAGCTAAGAGCATTCACATTAGTTGGGTTAAATTGCCGGGTGCAGGAAAGTTAACCCAACCAAGTCTGTTTGTGCACTCATGTTGATATGAGGTTAGCAACGGGTTAGTTAACCAAAAGCTTGATTTCAGGTTTGCGGTTGCTAAATTTAGCAATCACTAACCTGAAACTTAGCAATTTTGCACCTGTGTCACTCCAATTCTTCCATTCCAAATGGAGGAAAAAACGTTCACATCCTCCATTTGGAATGGAAAAATGGGTGGAGCTGGATGTTCCTAGCTCCACCCAGCTCTCCCAGCTCCTTTTTCCAGCTCAGGGAGCTGGGTTGCAACTGTGGGTTTAGTATTGGTATGACTTCCCGCAGCCCAGCCATTATAGTCTGTTGGCATAAGTGCACCCCCACAACCTCAGCCTGGGCTGAGGTTGTGGGTTCAATTCCCACCCTGGCTAGGGGTCAGGGGGTTCTCATCCAGCTCACCCAGCCAAAGGTGGGCCGCTACACTCACCGTAGCGGTTAGTGTAGTGTAACACAGCGGAATTCCCGTTAGCGTTAAGCATAGCATAGCGGAATTCCGCCACGACACCGCTAACGCTACGCGTGTGGGCTGCAAAAAAGGGCCCACTACGCTGCGCTACAGCGCTTTTCAGCCACTTTTACCGCTAAAAGCGCTGTAGCGCAGCGTAGCGTAGCGAAAATGCACTACAAAAGCGCTAACACTACAAAAATTTTGGCGCAAAAAAAGCGCCGCTACGCTACACTTTTTGGGCCAAAAGCGTAGCGTAGCGGCCCACCACTGACCCAGCTCCAATCCAGCTCAGCCAGCTCACATTCAGCTCACCTAGCTCATATTGAGCTGGGTGAGCTGGGTGGAGCTGGATATGCCCAGCTCCACCCATTTTTCCATTCCAAATGGAGGATGTGAACGTTTTTTCCTCCATTTGGAATGGAAGAATTGGAGTGACAAACCTCCAATTTTTCAGAGAGTTGTCCTCCTGCGGTTTGTTAACCCAGAAGGATGTGTTTGATGCCAGTAGGCTAGCTAACCTGGACCTCCAATCTGGGTTTTCTAACCTAAAACATAACCCAACCAATAGAATGCTCTAAGAGCATCCGCATCAGTGAACAACTTATACTGGGCTAGCAAGCTCGGATTAGTCAATGACTAAGCTATTCTTTAGGCTTCAACCACATTGGTGGTGGTGGAGATCACTTAATCTATGTGTTATGGCTTTAAAGTTGGTTTGTCCAACTCAATCGGAGCTTGTTTGCAGCTATAGGAAAGCTTTCATGCATTTTGAATATGCATGGAGCACTTGTTCCCAGGATTAGTGGGGTCTAGATTTAGACTAGCTCCAAATGGAGATCTGAGTCAAGTTGATCCTGTTGTAATCTGGACCGGTGTGGTTTTGAGGCTGGACTAAGTGCCTTAATGCACACTAAGTTAACGACTGATGCAGATGCTCCAACCCTTGCTACATGTAGCAATGGTCAGCTTTTGAGCTAGTTAGAAGCTAACCTGTGCCAACACTTCAATTTGGCACCCTTGCGCGAGAATTGCACACTTCAACTTCAAGCCACACCGATATGGCTGACAGGTGGTCACTATTGTTGTTTAACTGCTTCAAGTCAAGACTTGATTGGTTTGAGCTCAACCAATGCAGATGCTCTTATGGTGTTGCAAGCGGGTCTGGGCACAGGTCCAAGTTGGGCAAAAAAGGGGCCAAGCGGGCTTGGCCAACTCCCAAGCGCGTGTGGCGCCCTTTAAACCCAACTTGGCTCAGATTCAACCCTCGCTTGGCACCTCCCCAATTTGAAGGGGGTCGGACCCAAGCCACGCTTGGCCGAGCCCAAGCGAGGGTGCCCTCACAGGTCAGCTAGGTGGGTCGCGGGTGTGGTGGTGGTGGTAGTCGATGTCGGTGATCTGGTGAGCCCAGAGCTTGGGTTCAGCCAAGCCAGACTTGAGCCAGTGCCAAGGTCCGACCCCCGCGCGACCTGCCAAATCAAGCCCCCTGGGCGCTGGCCCAGGCCTCGGTGGCGCAAGGACACGCGGGACTGGGGCCTGTTCCCAGACCCGCTTGCAACACCATATGACTGTCAAGCTGGGCCTTAAGAGCATCTCCATCGCAGTCCGTATATTCGGGTCCCTATCGGGTGAAAATACGGACTCGGAAATGTAGATAGGGACTCGAAGGCTTGTTCTGCCACACCGGGCAGTCTGTGAATTGAAGCGATCTTCCATCATTGGTGCGGTGTTGAGAGGATGTTACAAGAGGTTGTGTGACATTTACGATGAGGTGTGCTGTGAGTGCACAATCCTCAGTCCCTATCCAATCCCTGGATCCCGGGCGGCGGGTCTGGAGAGGGACCGAGGATGAAATCCGTAAAATACGGACGTGGATGGGGACCGCGGTGGGAGTTGATTTTTGGTCTCCGGTCCCTAAATGCGGGATAGGGACCCCATTTAGGGACGGCGGTGGAGTTGCTCTAAATATTGGATGGA